ACCCAACCACACTGCATAACCCTTCCTCCTCATACCCTAACACCTCACATGACCAAACCACATGGCTGCCGTTACAGACCACTCCCCCCTCTACGGCCTACCTCCTGGTAGGCTTAGGCTTCCGTGGATATCGTTTGTGAAATCGTTTGACAGTATCGGGCGAATGTTCGACATCTGACAATGGCTGCCACGAAGCTTCGTCATAACCGGCATACTTAACCAAGTATTCAAATCTTCCCCGACAATCCCTGGAATCCAAAATATCCTCGACTTCCCACTCCTCCTGTCCTTCAACTTCGACCGGCGGTGGTGGTAACTGTTGTTGTCCTGGTAAAGGATCGTTTGCTGCAGACGACAATAAAGAGACATGGAATACGGGATGAACTTTCATGGAACGAGGGAGTTCCAACTCATAGGCATAAGGACTAACGATCCGCTTCACGATATATGGTCCAATGCGTTTCCAATCAAGTTTCTTCGATGGTCGTTTGGTGAGGACATGGCGTGTTGATAAGAAAACTCGATCTCCTACTCGATAGTAAGGTGCTGGAGTTCGACGTATATTGGCGGACTCTTCTTGAATCCTTTGCGCTCGAAATAATTCATCCTTTAGAAAATCCAATATATCCTTCATCTCTCTTACAATACTATTGGCCTGATCCTCCGCTGTCGTCCTACCATGTTCCAAAGGACCAAAAGTCATTCTTGGATTCCTCCCTGAGTTGGCGTAAAATGGAGAGATTCTCGTCGTTTCAGAAGCATGGTTATTTGTTGCAAACTCGGCCATTGGCAACCATCGAACCCAGTCGTCCTGTTGATAAGAAACATAACTTCGAAGGTATTGTTCCATCACAGCATTGATTCTTTCCGTTTGTCCATCCGTCTGGGGGTGAAACGCTGTAGAGAATTTTGGCGATATTTCCAAACGATCGCAAAGGGACCTCCAGAATTCCGCAACAAATTGTGTTCCTCGATCAGATACCATAGTTTCAGGGAGTCCATGTAATTTCCAAACATTATCGATATATAACCTCGCTACTTCTTTTGAATCCGCCTCTTTAGTTGTGGGTATGAAATGTCGCATTTTGGTTAGTCTATCCACCACAACTAGAATTGCATTGTACCCATCACTCTCCGGAAGGTCTGTAACAAAATCCATCGATACATCCATCCATGGTCCATCAGGTATTGGCATAGGTCGGAGTACTCCATAGGGCGCATTGCGTGATGCCTTGCTACGGGCACACACATTGCAATTCCTAACATACTGATCGACATAATTTCGCATTCGTGGCCAGTAGTATTCTCGATTCAGGAGTTCCAAAGTCTTTGCTCTGCCTGGATGGCCTGCCGATGGGTTATCATGGTATTCTTTTAGAAGTTTTAGTCGAAGGTCATTGTTGTCCGGTACGTAGAGTGCGCCACGATAAAGTAGCCGACCGTTGTTGTCCTCCGTACATTCAGCAAGTGAAATTTTATTCGAATGGCGAACGCCATTCCGAAGCATCGCGAGGACTTTGTTCGGGAAACTGTCAACTTGATAAGCATTTGAAAACAACTCTTCTACAGTGGACATTCCTTCAGCGGATTCATTTGAAAAAGAACCCGCGAACAAACTTAGCTTTGAATCCAAATTTTTTCGCTTCAAAACTACCTGGCTTTGATGCGTCAACCGTTCATCCCCCTCCTTAGGTAGGTCACCCGACCTCCTAGTCAATGCATCCGGCTTTGCTCCTTGTTTCCCTGGTCTAAATTGAATGACGAAATCGAAACGTGAAAGAAATTCCGACCAACGGGCTTGTCGACGGTTTAATAACTTTGTTGACATGAAATATTCGAGGTTCCGATGGTCGCTAAGAACTTCAATTGGGAATTGTGCCCCCTCTAAATAATGTCGCCATTCCTCAAAACATCGTACGATTGCCAGGAGTTCTTTGTCATAGATCTCATAGTTACATTCCGCAGGGGAATGTTTCTTAGAGAAGAAAGCGACTGGATGTAGAATTCCTTCGTCGTCACGTTGAGACAGAATTCCAGCAGAAACATAGTCGGATGCATCGGTTTCTACCACGATTTTCCGATCCGGATCAAAGTGCATTAGTATGGGTGCCGTTGTGAACATCCTTTTCAATGTCTGGAATGCTTCCTCCCTTTCATCCGTCCATTCAAATTTAACATTTTTCTTGGTCAGAGCTGTAAGCGGAGCAACAATTTTTGAATACCCTAAAATAAAACGCCGATAGAAATTCGCAAATCCCAGAAATACTTGAATATCATGGAGATTCCTTGGTATGGACCATTCCAAAACATCGACAACTTTCTTTGGATCCATCCTATTCCCATCCGGGGTGAGAATAAGGCCGAGATACTTCGTTTCCTGGACTATAAATTCACATTTCTCAGGCTTAAGGTGAACATGACTCTCATCAAGTACCTTCAAAACCTTTCGAATGTGCTCTTTGTGTTCTGCCAGGGTTTCCGAGTAGATAAGAATATCATCTAGGTATGCTGTCACAAATTGGTCGAGGTATGGTCGTAAAATATCATTGATCCAGTGTTGGAACGTAGCAGGGGCATTAGCTAATCCGAACGGCATTACAGTATACTCGAAATGTCCATAACGAGTCCTAAATGCCGTTTTCCATTCGTCTCCCTCCGCTACCCTGATCTGATTGTATCCCCAATGTAGATCCAACTTGGTATAGTACTGTGCCTTCGAAAGTTTAGCCAAAGTTTCCTTTAACAGTGGTAACGGGTACCGATTTTTGACTGTGATCGCATTGAGGCCTCGGTAATCCACACATAGTCGAAGAGTCCCATCATTTTTTTTCACGAACAATATGGGTGCTCCCGCCGGCGATTCACTGGCCCTGATAAATCCTTTTGGTAGATTTTCATCAAGGTATTCCTGTAACGCTTTTAATTCGGTCTGTGATAACCCATATATTGGTCCATAGGGTGGTCGTTTACCCTCTTCCAACACTATTTCGATGTCATGAGAGGGTCGATGGGGGGGAAGAACTGAAGCATCATATTCTTCAAACATATGGAGCCGATGGTGGAATTCCTTTGGTACCAATTGCTTAACGTCGACGGTGGATTTTTCAGCTGCTGAAACAACGATGGTATGATGCTCTGGTAAAGGGACCGATATGCCATGAACTATAACTGCAGTCCCACTGAGTGAACAGTGCTGACAACAATTCTGAGAATCAAAAACGAGTAGATTGTCTTTTGGTCGAATCGTGACATCATGGTGTCGCATCCAGGGTATCCCCATCACAATTGGATAATGTCCTAGTTTCGTCACAAAACATGTCGCATTTTCTCGATGGCCATGAATGTCTAACGAGACATCAACAATATGAGTAATTTTCCCTGATTCAATAGGCCTACCATCTATAACATCCACTTGGCGAGATCTCTTAAGCGGGGTCATTGTAAGATTATTATGGCGTACGAAAGATTCATCGATAAAAGCATATCCTGATGCTCCAGTATCAATGAGAGCATAGGTAGGAACGAAAAAGTCGGGATCTTGGGAGACAGAGCAGGTGACGACAAGAGTGTCTTCAGACATTTTATCCTCGGACACAGTAACAGCAGGAAGAACAGAGACAGGTGGCGGGGTTGGCCCCTTTGGTTTGCCATTCTTTACCAAAGGGGCTGACCTTTTAACGCCGGCTTTTGAGACACTTGTTCAATTGGCTTTTCTCGCCAATTGTTGATGGTACGGGGGTCTTGGGAGCGAGGGGCGAGATAGCGAGACTTAGAAACATGGCGAGATTGGGTTTTAACTCTAGCGGCAGAGGCGGAGACACGAGAGCGAAGATCGGCAATGGTGGCATTGGCTTGAACTTCCCAAGCCTTTGCAACAGAAGTGATGTGAAGAATCTCATCTTCAGCATCAGCGAGGTTCTCGTCGGCAATGGCGAGACTTTCCTGGTGTAGTGCCAGGCGGAACCGAAGCTCTTCTTCTTCAGCCTTCGATTCCTCCAGCTCAATCTTCAAAGCAACGATAACCTCGTCGCGACCTCGGATGATTTCAGTAGAATCTTCCTGGTTATCGCACAAGGTTTGCCAAAAATCGGCAGCCTTTTCGTTGGCTGCTTCTAGTTCTATAGTGAGGCCGGCGATGACCTCTTCCTGAGCCGTATCGATAACGGGTTCTAGTGGTGCGGGGGTGTCAAGAGGCTTGGTGAGAGCCTCCAAACACTCAGTAATAAGACCATGAGCCTCCGTAAGTTCTTCGCCGAAGTCTATATCGGCTGGGAGGGGACCATAGGTGGCCAGAAATTCTGAAAGACGCTGCAGCAGCGTATCCTGAGTGGTGTCGGACATAGTCGCGACCAGAGCTAAGCAAGGTGGTGTTGTATCGGTTGGCTGTAGAGGATGCAACCTAAGTATAACGGGGACTATGGGCGTAGGAACTATGAAGCCAAGGAATACAACCGAGGCGAAGACGTAGACGTAAGGAGGTTCGTGGACTATGGACTATGGGGCCGAGGTAGGCTACCAAGGTGGGAACGTGGACTATGGACTATGGGGCCGAAGGGTACACCTAAGGCAAGAACGGGGACTGTGGACTATGGATGGTTGTACCTGGTCTAGTATACCGGGTAAACCCTATGACGTAGCGCAAACCAAATAGTATTCGTAACTATAAAGTACAGAGGTTGCATAAAGAAGAAAAGAAAAGAAAGAGAAACAAGAAATCACAAGACAACGCCCCCCTTATATATCCATACCCTATCCCAATGCTGACTCATACTCTCGCGTAACAGAAACAGAAAGAACATAATAGAAACCCGCTTCACTAAACCCAACCACACTGCATAACCCTTCCTCCTCATACCCTAACACCTCACATGACCAAACCACATGGCTGCCGTTACAGTGGTCTGGTACGCATCCCTCACAGTATATTGTTACTCACAAGTTCACTTGGAGTAACGAAGTCACCTCAAAAAGAAGAACTATCATCATTATCCCCTATCACAATGACTACCCGAAGGGATAATTATTTCATAGATACCTCGGCCGTAACTGAGGAGGCCGGAGGGGAAGATTCTGTGAGGGATGCGTACCAGACCACAAGAGTACACTACGCAGAGCTCAGAGTTCGGCTAACAGCTACAAAGGTAGAAGTCTCCAAGGTCTCTTCAGTCAACGTCGAGTATGATTCTCCTTGATCCGATACGGGCCCCGCGAGCTACGTTATCAACAAAGATTCACTAGAGTTAGCGTGTGATGTTCGACCGTCTTCGACGTAATAGTTCAGGTAGAGTTCGAAGTCACGATAGAGTAAAGTAATTCCAAAAGTATAGTCAAATAAAGTTGTAACTCGCGTATCAACGATTTATATTGTTAAGACTCTGATTTCGCCGATGATGGTTTGGCTAGTCAGTGAATGACACAGTATTTATATCCCTCGCTTATGTCTCGAGGACCCAGTCTACTAATAATACAGAATACACTCGGGGCATGCCCAAGACCCTGAAAAACAACCAAGAACATTTAACTCCTAAGTCCGTAACCCAAACTCCTAAACCCGCTGAAACCCCTCAACCTATTTATCTACTCCAATGCAAGTTTCCCTGTCGATGTTTCTTCTCCATCGGCTGTCTGGTGGATAATCGTCAGCGCCGGCTATTCGGAGGTCTCGGACGGCAAGGCTACCTACTCAGGCCTCTTCCCACATCTCTTTCCCACATAGCAGAGTCCTCTCACGCCTACAGGTACCGCCGATAGGTACTCGGTCGCTGGCAGCTTGCGCCGATTCGCTCCGAGCGGTCCGATCTTCGATCCGATTGATTCCAGCTGTCCCTCATATACCCACCGGTACCAAAACACTTCCCTCCGGCGGTTTGACGCTCCGGGGGTTATTATTGGCGTCGAAAACGTGTTTTTTAACTAGGAAAACCGCAACTCCGCATTTGGTCGCATATCGATCGCACCGCACCTCGTGGGTGCGAACCGGAGTTGACATTAGCATACAGAGGGTATTGGGGTATCTAATTAACCTTTTTCTCTTACTCCCGTAAATGCTTGGCATGCCCGTAACAGATTCTATGGTAATATCGAGGGCTGCTAGCCCAGATCCCTTACTTACGGGAAGACCCTCTACACAAACTAGGCAATCGAGTAAACGCTCTGCTCAAGCCCAGTTCGTGAGGAATATGCAGGAGTTTTTGGATACCCATGAGGCACAAATGAGGTATCTTGGTTCAGCTGGACAGGCTGTTTGGCAGCAGCTACAAAACCTCCAGGAACAAGTCCAAGGGAGTGGGCAAATCCTGCACAAGAAAGTACGGCAAGAAGCCATTGCCCAAAAGCAACATCTCGAATCGCTCTTTGAGCTCGTCGCCAATGTCCGACAAGTACAAGAAGCCGCACGAGCCGCCGACCACGAGGTTCTGGAACGAAGTCATCAGCAAACCCAGACCCAGCTAATGGAGGCGGAGCGGCAACTGAGAATGGTGAGAGAAGAGCGGGAGCAGGAAAAAGGGGAACAACGAGCTCTATTTGCGCAATTTAAGCGGTCCGATGAGGAGAGAAACCAACGGATAGCCGAGATGGAGGAACTACTGCAACAACATCTGTCAGTAGCACCTTCCATGGCTAGTGCTCCCTTAGACCCTAATGCACCCCGAACGGTTCCTGTTGGCAATGGCAAGAACCCCCAAAATGCTGGCCCTCAAACATCAGGGAATGGCAAGCAACCAGAAGAAGCTGGCCCAGCTGGTGGAAATGGAGGCAAACAACCGGAGGACGCCGGCCCGGTGCAGGGAAACAGTGAGAGGCGACCGGTAGGAGCTGCTCCGGTAGGAAGAAATGGTGGAAATCAACCTCCCCGAAACCCACCAAGAGGGAACGTTGGGGGAGACCCAGAACCTTCCGACGACGATGACGATGATAATAGCGAATGGTCGCATGGTCGGAAAAATTGGAGAATGAACCGAGGCGGAAACCGGAATTCGGCGCCGCCTGAGGATGAAGACATGGTAGACTCGCTCGCCAAAATACCCTTCGAGTTCGATAATGCCAGAAAGCATAACCTGCGGCATTGGCTCATGGAGTGCGAGATCTACTTTGAGCAGAAGCCGAAGAAGTTCCGAACGGACAGGAATAAAGTACTGTTCGCTGGAACGTATACGTGTGGGTTGGCAAAGGAATGGTTTATGGAGTATATCGAGACCAAGATGCTAGGTCCGGCAGCCGCCGACTACGCTACTTGGACTCGATTCCGTCAGGAGATCTGAAAACGTTTCCTAAGCACTCAGGAAGCTATGGAGAACGCGATGAAGATGCAGCAGTTTAAGTACTCTGCGAACATCGGGGACTACCTGACGAGGATGGAAATTATGAACCAGCATGCTCAAATGAAAGGAGCATCCTACCGCGCCGCCTTGCTCCAAGGGTTACCAAATGAAATCCGGGAGCGCCACTCACGCTTCGATCCAACCGATGACGACTCCGAGTATATCCAACAGTTGGAACGAGCCGGCAAGGCTCATGAGGCTTATCAAGAGCAGATGAAGATGTTGGGGAAAGCGGAGTCGAGTGGAAGGGAGTCGAATAATGGTGGGAACTCGCGGCAGAAGGAGAAGGGGTTTAGGATCAAGGGGAGGGCTCAGACAGAGGAGAAAGAAAAAGGGCAAGATAAGGAGAGCACCAGCAAGAACAAGTGGGGGAATAAGCCAATATACCACGACTACGACGAAGCCACCAAAGGAGTTCCACAGCCGGTCCGAGACCAGCGAAAGACCGACGGTGTCTGTGTGCGATGTGGCCGAAAGGGTCATCTTGGGAAATGGTGTCGTTCAGATGCTAACAGCAGTGCATCTATCTCCTCTTTCTCCCGAAAGCGTACCCGCGATGACGATGGCGACCACGATATGGAACCACCGGAACCCCAACCTCCGAAGAAGCGCATGAGGCACCGTGCTAGGAAGCCGGCTGCTACGGCTGCTGCGGAGTACACCAGTGGGCAAGCGTTTGTGCGAGAACGCGGATCGGAATCTGAGATGGATTTCGACGAGGATTTTTAAAAGGGGACTCTGATGGGTCAGGTCAGGAGTATCCCCAGATTGCTATGTTATCACTGACGGAAAACAACAAAAAAAATATGAAAAGAAAAAGGCAGGAAGGGAGAGCGTCCCAACCGGAGAAAAAACAGAAAATTTTGGAGGAACCTATTCATGGTCCTCGACCTATCGTTAATCAGTTCCTTTGTTTTGCGGAAAAATGTTTACCTTGTAAGGTGTTGTTGGATACTGGTGCAACTGGTCCTGTTTTGTCTGCTGTTTTTGTTGATAGTTTTGAGGTCCCGAAGGTGAAACGAGACGTCCCGGCCCGGGTATTTGGATTTACGGGAGAAGTTATGAAGGGCACGGGACACGCCTTTACACAACCATTAATTATAATGTCAAGGGGGCATCAAACACAGTTGTCATTCGAGATCGCCCCTCTCCCACTTGGCATCGATGCAATATTACCGAACTGGTGGTTGAAAGAACACAAGCCGGTTATAGGGGCAAATGGGGAAGTTTCCTACGATGGCGAGAACTGTAAGAGTCGATGCTTCACTGACAAGGAACCTCAAATAGAGATGGACGAGGGTGTATTGGACGATCCAGAGGCCCAATTCATCGGTAGTATTTGTCTTTTGGAAGATGAATCGGTTAACCTCCGCGAGACTCTTCCCTCTTGGCTCCATGGGTTCCTTAAAGTCTTCCTACCATCGGAAGCAGACAAACTACCACCGCATCGATCCTACGACCATGCGATAGATCTTGAACCAGGTAAACAGCCACCATGGGGACCCGTCTACTCCCTATCCGAAGTCGAGCTGAAGGTGCTTCGGGAGTACCTGGACAAAATGTTGCGATTGGGAAAGATTAGGCCGAGCAAATCCCCGGCAGGAGCCCCAATCCTATTTGTGAAGAAGAAGGACGGTAGTCTACGACTTTGCGTTGACTACCGTGGACTTAACCGCGTGTCCATCAAGAACAGGTATCCGTTACCACTTATGGACGAACTACGAGATCGAGTGGCAGGCGCGGTTATATTCTCGAAGATTGACCTGAAGGAAGGTTACAACCTCATCAGGATCAAAGACGGCGACGAGTGGAAGACAGCATTCCGTACGCGGTACGGTGTAACGGCAATTAGGTATTTCTGGCTAGGTGATAAACTGGAACGAGGGAAGGAGGTATTGTGCAGTGGAATTAAGATTTGTAATGGAGATTTCTATTATGTTCTTTTGGTTTCTGTTACGCGAAGGTATTAGTCATCGTTGGATTATGGATGGATATATAAGGGGGTGTTGTCTTGTGTTTTTGTTTGTTTTCCTTCTTCTCTTCTTTCCTTACGCAACCTCTGTATTTACTCTTGCTCGCTAAGGCTCGCAAAGAACTCCCTGATAACAAACCTCGCTTTAAAAACATTTATTTTATTCCCTTCGGTTTACCCTGGTATACCATACCAGGCTGAGCCACTTCGCCCCCGATCGTACGGTTGCGTTTGTTGTTCCTAGCGAAAGAAACACCACGAAAACTGGCTTCTAGCGAAGAATTCTCCAGCCTTGACCTCCCAAAGGGAAGGAAAAGAAACCTCTCCGAAACATCACTTCACGCCGCCAGAAGAACTGGACACTCAGTCATGTCGCAGCAAGCTTCGCTCCAGTCCTTTTTCACCCAGTCTTCCCAACAAGGGACAGCCCCCTCGCAGAACAGGAACACTCAGGTTCCCGACCCAACCCCATCCGGAGCTCAGGAACAGGAATTCTCCTCGACCTTTGCAACAGAATCCGACTACAACGACCCCTACCAGCCGAGAGTTGACTACCTCTACCCGAGCATTGTCCCCCAGGACACCCACACCCAGACGGACCTGAACTACATCACCTGGGCCATTAGACATGCCACCAGCCGGATCTGCCCACCCTCCGACAGGATTGAAATCCTCGAAGAGCAAACGACTACTCTCCGGAGAACAGTGGATACACTGAAGCATCAGATCGAGGCGCAGACAAACATGATCACCAATATGCATTCGGCGATCCACGCGCTCCTCAACAAACAACCACAACCGCAGCAACCGCAGCAACCGCAACAACCGCAACAACAGCATCAACAGCAACAATAGCAACAGCAGCGAAAACCACAGCAACCGCAAGGACAGAGAATGCCCCCTCCAGCGGTCCCACAAACAGCTCCCCAAGCAACGCCACAGGCAGCTCCTCAGGCCCCCCCACCCGCACCCCCCCAACAAGCCCCACCTCGTGGATGGAAGGCAGGCACCTGGGCCGCCGTGGCCTCGGCACCCGGTCCTGCCCAAGGTAACTTCCAGGTCATCGAGAGGAAAAAGAAGTCCGCAAAGCCAAAAGCGGATCCCCTCTTCAAACCAGAGTATACCAAGATCAACAGGGAGATCATCGTGGAAACTACTGCCCCATCTGACGTTAACCCCTCCGAGATCAGAACCCTCGTCAATGCAAGAATCCAAGACGAGTCCTGCCATTTCATTTCGGCAAGAAGAACACCTAAGGACAACTTCATCCTGGAAACAAAATTCGTTACCCCTGCAACAAAGGCAATGGAATACGCCAAAGAAATTGAGGAGGCCCTCCTCACCCTACAGGTACCGGTCGCTGTCATCCGCGCAAACTCCAAATGGTCAAAGTTTCTCCTCCATGGAATCCCCACAACGGTCGGGGAGGGCATTGAGGCGGGACAACTAGTAGCATCAGAAATCAGAAGCAACTATGGAGAGAACTTCCAACTTGCCCAGGTTCCCCGCTGGATATCCAGGGCAGAAACTCGAATGGAGAAAACCCACTCATCTATGGTCATCGCGCTCCCGGGACAAATCACAATGGAAACACTAGGAGTTAAATTCCTATCTCTCTTCAACCGAAGCTGCCATATCGAGGCCTTCCTCCCAACCTTCCCGGATACCCAGTGTGCAAAGTGCCTCGAATACGGCCACCGCCAGGAGAAATGTAAGAACAATGGAAAATGCGGTCATTGTGCCGGAGACCATCTCACCAGCTTCCACCCATGCAATCAATGCCAGGGAGGATACAGATGCACCCACACCCCAATCAGATGTTTGAACTGTAAAGGAATCCATAAGGCCTCCGACCCAGCATGCCCTGAAAGAGTTAAACGCCGATTCCTTAACAAAGGAAAGGAAAACGCCCCACCCGCCCAAGACCCACCTGCCGCACCCGCCCAGGAGCCAATTTCAATAATCCAAGTACCAGCCACCGCCCCGGTCGGAGCCACACCCGTTCCCGAAGACGACCAACCCATGACGAATAATGCCTAGGCTGCGAACAACTGCGCTCGCACACCAACTTAATTGTGCACGGAGCGAACTAATCACCAAGGCGGCGGTGGAAGGAGCAGAAACAGACTCGAGCATTTATTTCCTACTATTACAAGAACCATGGACCTCAACAGAGGGATATACACCAGAATCAAATCTTTTTTACCTTTTTACAGCCAGCAATATCAATACGAAATGCGCAACATACGTCCGCAAACATGCCAACCTCAAACCAAAACACCACTACACACATGATAATTTCATAGTATCGATTACGGTAGAAATCCAGAACAAGAAAACCCAAATCCTAAACATATACTCCCCAGGCCGAAGTGGCCCCTTGGCTCAAATAGCAAGTACAATCCAAACCCTTGATAATTGTCTAGTAATGGGAGACTTCAACTGCCACCATCAAATGTGGTACGGAGTAAATTCACATGAATACAGAAACAATATTCGAGCAGACCGAGTCAATGGTGCACGACTAAAACGATGGATAACCCGACAGAAACTGTCCCTCCTGAACGAACCAGGCGTCTTCACGCATTTCCCCAGAGACAGAGGGAAAAGGCCGACAACCATCGACCTTACATTTGTAAAAGGCCCAATACTCGATCATAACCTACGATGGAGCACTGAACCCTACGGAGCGGGCTCAGACCATGGGAGAACCTCCGTTCACTTACACCTGGAGAAACCACCTTTTGTACCAAGACGAATGTGGCGACAAACAGACTGGAAGCTATTGGAAAACCACATGTCAAACATTTCCATCCCTGCAGAGGCATGGGAAACCAAGGAACTTACGGAACAGACTGTCGATTTCTTTCTAGAACTGGTCAGGTCAACAGTCAGCATAGTAACACCGCTCTCGAAGGAGGGGGTAAGAGCCAACTCCTGGTGGTCAGATGAAATGAAACAAATGAAGGCAAGGGTAAATGCAGCAGAAAGGAAGGCGAGGAACACAAGGAAACCCAATCACGTGGAGGAACACCGGAAGGCTTGCAGAGAATGGACAGTCATGATCCGGAAAGCAAAAGCGGATCAGCGGGAAAAGACGATGAACGAGGCGAAAGGTAGTGAAGTCTGGAGAATCCTAAACGTAGGAAGAAGAAGAGACACAATCATACCAACCATACAAGGTGAAGAAACGTTTGCGGGGAAGTGTCAAGCTCTAAGAGCCCAACTTTTCCCCTCGAAACGGACGTCCCCCGACCACCCCCCCCTAAACATTAGACCCCCTTCTTTTGACCTTAGCAACACCTTCGACATAGTCACCCCCGAAGAACTTAATAAAGCAATCGACTCCTGTCCAGCGCACTCGGCGACCGGCCCGGATGGCATTCCTTACACCTTTATTAAAGCAATAGTCAAAGCAAACACAACTCTAATCCAAGACATGTTCTCCGCCATGCTCCGGCACGGCGTACACCCAGCGGAATGGAAAATAGCTAAGTGTATCCCGATCCCGAAACCCGGTAAAGCAAACTATCATGAAGCAAAAGCCTACCGGCCCATTTCCCTTCTACAATGTTTCAGCAAAATCCTGGAGAAGATAGTGGCCCAAAGACTCTGCACCGCTGGAGAAATTCTAGGCACACTCTCAGCGAATCAATTTGGAGGAAGACCAACCATCTCGGCAATCGACGCCCTGCTGAGAACCTTAACGCCAATACAACAAAACCTACTACTGAAAAACAGTACCGGAGTCGCTCGG